ACATATCTATTCCTCGTCGGAGGTTTCGCTGAGTCACAGATACTTCAGTCTCACATCAGAAACGCGTTCACATCACGACTCAAATTAATTATCCCTCAGTCGCCGAATCTGGCGATACTTCGCGGCGCCGTTATGTACGGACTCGACCCGACTGTCATCAGCTGTAGACGAGCCAAACTCACGTATGGGGTCGGAGTCCTCAACCGATTCATTCGCGGTAAACATCCGTTGCATAAGTTGGCCGTCAAAGACAACATCGAGTGGTGCGCCGATGTCTTTGACAGATTTGTTGCGTGCGATCAGTCAATCGGCTTATATGAGTCCATCACTAGGAGTTACACTCCGGTCAATGAGAGCCAGAGCTGTAGTATTATTCATATCTATTGCAGCGAAAGGGATGACGTCGAGTACATCACCGATTCGGATGTCCACCGATGCGGTACTCTATATCTCGATTTGGATCACATCCCAGAGTCTAATCATATTAACCCAGCGCTCAAAGCGATCATTAAAAGGGAAATACAAACGCAAATGATTTTCGGAGACACAGAGATAAAGGTTTAATCCAAACATTAATTAAATATATTATAAATGCAATATTAATGCAAATGATTGATAGGTTTGTGCGTTGGATGTGTTGACCGGAAAGTGTGTCAAAGCAGAAGTCGATTTTCTGAGCAATTGAATGGCAGTCCTATCTCTTAATATAACCACAAATTTAGTGCCAAATATATAAAACAAAATTTATGTAAAATTTATTTTCATATTCATGGATATAAAAGTGAAATATGTTTTTAATTAAATATATGAATATCACAACAAATGTATTGCATTATAAATGACTTAATATTAAAAATATAAATTAATAATACGTTTAAATAACTATAAAATAGTGATATTTTGTAATGTCTTCGTGTGTCTAATCAAAGTCGGGAATGTCTTCAAAGTTATAGCCATCGTATCGATAGTAAGCGTAATAAGCGATACGGATGTGATAAAAGCCGGGAATAAACATCACGAACCCTAGAAATGCCAGCACTAATAGACCATCATTTGGTTGGATATTAACTATATATCCAAACAAAATGAGTATCGATATAACGATTACAACACTTCCCACTATAAACAGGAATAGCGCTAAACATATGGCCCGCCACGGGATCCGAATCCTATCCGCACCCGTCTTACCATCGATCACACCCTGTAATCATAGTTACCATTAGTGACACATTCAGACATTAAAACTACTAAATCTATCAATTGATATGCAAAATGCAATTATAATATTGTGCTAATTGTAACATCAAATAGTGTCACACATACGGCAGTTGTGGCCAAACCGCAACTTTCTGACACTTTATACCATTTATACGGCTATATTGTGGCGATTGGCCATAAAGTGTGTGAAACACCATTTCCAGTCACTTCTATTGAAATGAGTGCAAACCCCAGTGTTTGACCACAACTGCACTGTTTGTGTCCATTCGCACAATTTGTAATCACATAAAACATATGATATTTAAATCAATTGAAGGCAATCAACAAAACGGCAATCAATTGATTGTTATTTGATGTCTGATTGAGTACTCAATACCTGTGCAGTTGTGTCACCACATTGTGGACCAAATAATAGCATTTCTTCATAACTAGTCCTTTGTTTTGAACGAAATGTGAGTTTATTTTCAAACATTTCACTCAATTTCAAGTGAATTAACAAAACAATCGATTCAATCAAATGTCAAACACATTGTAAACAAGACATTGAAATTCAATGTTTGCTTCATTTCAGTCCATAAATCACGTGAAGAGGGCTTTGGTTTGAACTTCAAGTGACGTAAAGACCGACTCAAAGCCTTTCACTGAAAGGAGGAGTGATTGAGACGTAATTGATGTGAAGTCAAGCCCTGTATTGATGTGAAGGCAGAGTTGGAGTGAATGTGAGAGTGATTTGTGTTGTTTTGCAGACAAGCGTTCATTTGAATGCATGTTATGTTTGCGGCGTTTCTCAACATTCAGTCAATCATTAAATACAATGAATTTTAAGTTGAATTTAAACACAATTAATAAATATATTTACCATAATTTGATCATTTGTTTAGCAATTAATACATTAGTTGTGAATTCAAATGAATGGGAATCCAAAGGCATTTACCCGAAGAAAGAGCACTCACTCGTCAAACCATATCAGGGTTTGTAATGAATCTATCATTTGTTATCATTTATATATTATTTCATTTATTATTACTGTTAATTCACTATTAATTCAAACAATTACTTCATTTCAATGTTTAAATGTATATTTTAAATGATTTTTGAGTCTATTTTTACGCATAGATTGTCGCAAATTAAGGCAAATATCGAGATATAACTCGAGTGTAAACTTTTCCTCTAAATATTTTTAACAATAAAAACTTATTAATAATTATATTAATTAATTGTAATCTTCTATCAATTAATTTTATAAATGTATTTATAATTAATTCATAAATTTGTTTATAAAACTTATATTTTGATTAATTTAGTATTTAAATCGACAAATGATTTAGACATTGAGTTATTACACGTTTCATTAAACCAATCGATTCATACAATTATTGCAAATAATTTATACTTTTTTACAACTATTTTCACATGTTTTACGGAATAAAAGTTTTTAGTAATTAAAAGCTATTATTTTTCAATAGAAAGACAGTTTTATCTACAATTTTTATCAAACAAAATGTGTTAATCAATGTTTGGGTTTCGAAAACAAATGTCACAATTATATAGTTGTTTAACTCATTCAATGATTATTTACAAGTTTTATGCATTTTATAAACCATTTTCTTGTTTAAACGTTTAGTATAATAATTGATTGATGTGTTTGTACTGTTAGGGACTGGTATGACAATCCCTTCGTGGGACTTCTTCGGCAGCACAATGGTTACGACCAGTTTTATTCGCATTACTCCCGACCAACAGTCCAGAGTTGGCGGCCTTTGGAACAAAATAGTGAGATATTTGGGCACATTTTAATTGACACTTTGTTTAATGAATGTCATTGTTTGTATTGTAAAGCCGTTTGACTTTCGTAATTGGGAAGTGCAGATCCAGTTCAAAGTGAGCGGACACGGCAAAGACCTGTACGGCGATGGGATGGCCTTTTGGTACATCAGAGACCCTCTCAGACCCGGTATTTTTGTGATGCTTTTTCGCCTCAATTCTGTTGATTATATGTTATATTTATAAATTTAGGCAACATTTTCGGAAATTCTGACTTTTTTGTCGGTTTGGGAATATTTTTGGACACTTATGCCAATCAGAACGGTATTCACAGTCACGGCCACCCATACATCTCAGCGATGGTGAACAACGGGACCAATCATTACGATCACGACAGGGATGGCACTCATTCAGAATTGGCCGGATGTGAGTCTAAGTTCAGAGGCATAGATCACG